ACTAATGCTTTTAGCACTGAACTGCAGCAGAATAACAGGATTCTTTACAGGATACCGCATGCAGGAGTGTGTGTTTTTGTGTGTGTAAGGAAATCTGCCTGTTTAGGTGATGATTGAAGATGCCTAGGTGTGGTGCTTTTCTTTTTTTAATTCATCCATCACTCGCCTCTTCACTCATTTTCTGTAAGAGGAGAAAGGAAAAAAAAAAAAAGCAGTGCGTGCATTAAGATGGAAGTATGTGCGATGGCGTGAACAAAGAAGGGTAAAATGAGGTAAAGAACGTTAAGAGACAGGAGGAGAGAGGACGGATAGAAGTACTGTGAATAGAAAAGAAGGAGGAAAAGATTGATGGATACCTCATTACAGCACAAGTGAATGTAGGAAGAGGAACAACTGGATGGATTGTGTTTCGAGGAACACAGGAATGGAGGGACTGATACTGTTCTTTAATGGCTTTTGGACTTTGAATCTCCCATTTTTTTTCTTCCATCCATCTCCCATCTGTCCTCATTCTCTGTCTGGGAACAGAAAAGTAATGCTTCTTCTCTTCTGAGGGCACCCGCTCTTTGATTTTTCATCTCTCCATCTCCTCCTGCCAAGTTCTGCTTTTTAGGTCAAGAAGGGCGAGCATCATACAAGCATGCAAGCCTCATTTTCTTCAAACCATCCCTTTTGTCATTTAACCATTCTCTGAAGAACATATTGCATTCACGGGCTTCACCTCTGACACGCAACACTATGATTAATGACATAAGAAGACAACAAAATATATAACTTTTTTCCAATTTCTTCCAATGCTGCACTCACACTGGTTGCAACAACAGGAACTAAACTAACCGGGAGTATTTCCTTAAGGACACACAAGATAAGGTTTTCTGGAACAAATTTTTGTAAGAATTCTCCCACTGTGACAAGCCCACCACCTACAGCAAATATCATAAGGCCTGTCCTCCCCTGCCGCTCTTTCTTTATAGAAGCCTCCTAGACTCTGTCCTCCTCCGCTACCACTCATGTTTTACAGAAGCATCATAGACGCTGCCCTCTGCTGAGCCATCTGCTACTTCACTGTGCTCACGGCTCGGAAACACAAACAAAATCCTCAGCAGCACACACATCACCTCCAGCATCATTGGACTTTGCTCTCACAACTTCAAGGACCTCAGCTGAATCCCGTCTTGGTTTTTATAGTCCTCCCATCTGGACTCTGACACAAATCCTGGATCCGGTTACTAACAGATTTTATCAGATTTCTTAGTGCCCTCTGCCATCATGGTTTCCGGACAAGCTGTCACTTCAGGGATTAAACCCCCAGTCTGTGATCGGTGTCATCTGTGTACTTAATGAAAAGTCAAGTGTTCTGTGTATTTTGTACAACAACCGCATGGTCATGAAGACGCCAGCAAATAAAGGACAGCAACTAACAATTGTTTTTATTATTGATTCTCGATTATCGTTTAAACTGTAAAATGCACATCACAATTTCCAGAGCCCAAGGTGACGCCATCAAATTGCTCTAACGTATATGATTTATTGATTTATTGTCATATATGATAGTAATGTTAGGCATTTTGTTTCATCTGCAAGATTGGCAGTCGAATCAGGCTATACCCATCGAAGCATCAAAATTTAGACTATTCGGGGTCAGACCTAATTTATATTATCTACTAGTTGCTAATTTATTTTCTTTCAATCAACTAATTCATTATTGTTTTAGCAATCAAGTTCAGTGAGAACAGTTGCTCTCCATCTTTGAGTAGACTAAAAACATGTACATATACATATGTACAGAACTCCAACATATTTATCTATATGTATACATACATTAAAGCCCCCACTCACCCACAGTCCACCCGCTCGGGTGTTTTCATTTATTTTGCATAACAAAACCTCTTCTCAGGACAGTGTGCTTGATAGACATCTATCTCACTTTCCTGTTAGCTTTGTTGAACTTGTTAGAGTGAAACAATTCACACCTTTATCGCTCTCACACTGGTTAAATTATGTAAAATGCAGTGAAGCTCCTCCCAACCTCAACCTGAACAGAGATCCAATCAGCCACAATAATTAAAAATAACATATCTCAACATTATCTCTACTATATGTCATAATGATGACTAAAATATTTAAAATCACATGATAAAGTTACTCATATTGCTCATTAGGTTGAACGATTTTTGGGAAAAAATGTCTGTTTCTGCAAGATATTGCGATTATGATTTGTTTTGGGGGTTTTTTCACAAGCGGCACAGAGTAGATGAACCGGGCAGGAAGTCAGACACAGAACGGCCTGGAGAATTCACTTGATTTAAAAAAAGAAAAACACCCTGTGCATACTCCCGATCATAAATCAACAATAAACTGAAAAATGCTACATGTGGGATGTGTATCCTGCAGAGAGCAAAACGGGCTCACTGTCATCTGTAGTTGAAGCACACAAAATGACAAATTAACAACACGTCAACAACGTAGGGCAGGCTAAACGATCAGCTGCTAAAACACTTGAAACACAAAACTGCGGCACAGCCGCTGCCTGTGTCGGTTCGGCTGGTTTCGTTTGTTGTTGTGAAATGTACACGCCCTGTGTCCAATCTGATTGGTGAGTAGGACCGTAACAGGAGGCGCATGGTGCTTGTGATTGGCGAGCAGGTCTGTCACACAAGGATGACAACCTGTTACTGCATGACTGTTAAAAACGGGTCAGATGCGCTGTATAATTAGCGTACGTTTTAATCGTCGTCTCCACGATTAGCTAATCTCGGTCTTTCAAATCGCAGTTTAGATTTGAAAACGATTAATCAGTCAGCCCTATTGCTCATAATGATTAATATCAGTTACCTCGTTTTAAAAAGAAGAAAATTACATAACTAAAGTATTCAAAATCTCCTATTGTGACCTGTTTTGGTAGAATTGGTCTCAGTTTGGGGAAACTGTCCCGATACAAATATACATATATAGAGATAAAGAATGTTATCACTCAGTTATATATAATCAGTATTTGGTTTAAAAACTAAAAACAAATGTATGTACATGTGCAATAATTGGAAATAATTTTCTTCTAATTATTATCAAAACCTTCCACATACCTTTCATCTCTAACCTTTTCTTTTTTTATATTTATTATCAGTATTCTGGTCACTCTTTCACCATCTGTACCACACACACACACACACACACACACACACACACACACACACACACACACACACACACACACACACACACACACACACACACATACAGGAAGAGCAGGGAGTGGGAAGGAAGCACAGTGACAAGACAATGGACAGGAGGAGAGTGTCTTGTCCTCTGTCGCTTTGGAGGTTTCACTGGAGTGAAAATTTGAGAAGGATGGAAAAACCTGAAGGACAAGTGGCTACAACAATAACAGGATCTACTGACACCTCAAGTTACATCCTCTTTCATTGTGTAAAATGGCTCGAGGCCTGACAAAACATTCTTTTTAGTGTGATATCAGCTAACTGATTTTATTACAAATAGCATGTTTGGTCCACTAAGGATTTTTGGGGCGATTGACTTAGCTTAAAGACTGGAAGCAGGGGGAGACAGCTTGCCTGGTTAGCTACAGTATCTGATTTGTTAAATATGTATACAAACAATCACGTAAAAAGAGTTTCCAGATACAGTCAGTACAGTTAGAATGGTCTTTTTCAAGAAATAGTTGCAACATCTAATTATCTTCTAGAACAACAAACTTTTATTGTCATATTTCTTTCTCCAGCTTTTTAGAAAGTCAAGCTAGCACACAGATGGGAGACTGATCAATTTTCATATCTTCTCTCAAAAGAGAAAATATTGAAGCTTTTCTGTAGCCTTTTTACTGATATTTTGTGGTGAGGTATCAATATAATTCCAATTGAAAGGAAATATTATTTGTATCGATTGCTTTGTAAATCTGCTTTACAGTTGGTAACAGTTGACTGAGTTGTCATCTCACAGTGGTGATTTTAAAAAGAAATCATAATAATTTCTAGACACAGAGTGAACAGAACTCTGATGGACAACAGTAGCCCTTCACCGCTAGCTGATGATTCAGCATTGTGTCTAATGGAAAGCTTTTAGCTGCCTTTGCATCCTCCCACAACTTACAGAGGGATATACTAAACCCACAGATATACAGTACACAATAACAAACCAGCAGCTTCCTGGCTTTCATCTCAACTCTACTTTCTAGCCACGCCATTTTCAAACCTATTCTCTCCCTCCTCTTCACTGTTTTTCCTTCTACCTTTACTCCCTGCCTTCTCCATCTCTGGAGGTCTGCCTCCCTACGCTGATGTATTCATGTTTTCATTTCTGCTCTCTTTCTGTCTTATCGATTGTCGTGTTCCTTTTTCTTCTTCCTCCCCATCTTCCATTTCCAATTTTAACCCCTCTTCCGTCTCACCTCTAAGTGGTCAGATAGCTCAAACAGATGAGATCTTGTGTTTATAACAAGTATGTTGGGACTAAAAGCTTTGTGCTGCATTCTTATGATTTATTGAGCCCCCTGGCACATACACAGAATAAGGTGTTGAGGTGGTGTTGGATTCGTTAAGGGGTAAGTGCTGAAATGATGGTTTGTGGGTCTCTGTATGTCTTCCCTCCTGCTATGAAGGTAATCACAAGAGATAAGCAATACTCCTGACGTTTCATCAGTGCTCATAATCGCTGCCTCTCACCATCTGTCGAGCAAAATAATTTATTCAACCTCCAAACATAACTCTTAACTTCTGCTGTTTATAGGTTTTTGTTGGGGGAGGGGTTTCGGTTCTGCCAGCACCTGTTGTCATTCATACTTATAAAATCAGTGGTTTACCATTTGAATAATTATGGAATTTGCTCATGGAAAAGTTAAACTTAAGGTTTTTTTATTCAGCTTCCTTCCCAGCATTTGTCTATATTAGTAGTAGACCGATGATATATAAAACTAATGAAGACGCATCAACCTTCAAAGCCACATTCTGTAATCTTTTTCTAATCTTCTTCTGTTTCTCTTGCAGGCAGTATAAAGGGAGCAACAATAGTGGATGCTCTGGATACCCTCTATATCATGGAAATGTTTAAAGAGTTCGATGCTGCTACTGAGTGGGTAGAGAAGAACCTTGACTTTAATGTGGTAAGGAGTGTGTGTGGGTGTCCTTGTGATGATCAACTAAATTTATTTTGCAAAAACTTCGACTCTCTGCCATAACTCATAATTCAGTCAATAGAAGCTTGAATCATTGATATTAATGGTAGAGAGGAGCCTTGAAATGCTGGCCGTTTACCCATTTGGGATTTTCATGAGTATCTGTTTTTATTAATGGAAATTTAAAGCGAAAGAGCAAACACCTTTAAAGTTCAGGTGTTAATGTACCTAAGACTCAAGATGTCAAGATGTCCTTTTAAGATAGGTGAACAAAAGGAGACACGAGACGATAGTGCATCTGTAGTTTGAATAAAAAGACAGACAGTCTTTGTTAGAGTGCCACTTTAACTCAGTGGTGTTCCTAGTTTGTCTTCTGGGTAGGGCTAAAATGTTATCAGGAAAAAAAAAAATCTTATCATTCAAATCGCTTATTGTCACAATAAGTGTCATCATTATTTTTTTCAACTTTAAAGGCAGTTTTTGCTCCTGAGTGAAAGCTGAAGAAACCAGATGCTTAGTTCTTTATGGTCAGAACGTGACTGAAACACTTGATCATAAACAGTGGATCACTTAACAAATCTGAGGTAGAACATTCAAAACAATTACGAAAAATATTAAATGTATACATACATACTTTTTCAGTCCCTTTTTATGGGCTGATATTTGTTACTTTGTCACCTTTTAATAATTGCATAAAAAACTGAATCTGAATAGCATAATTTAATTTATTAGTTTGAAACTGAATTCCAATCAACTTGAAACTGAATGTATATTATGAAACTGAATTTAGTTGCAACTGAAAATGTATTTGAGCTAGTTTCAGTTTCAAGTTTTGGAACTGAAGAAGTCCTTTGGATGAGGGACAAAACGTCTTCCAGTATTATCAACCAAGTCCAGTTGCCCTTGACTTTAACCTTCATTGGATAACTATGACCTGGATGACTGAGAATCTTGAATCTCTGATGATCTTTACTATTCAACATCCTGGATCCCATGCTTTTTCACCAGCACTTGAATGCAGCATATAATACCGGTAAATGAAAATATCTAGTTTTGGAGGAAATCCCAAACCCTGAGCACCACTTGTTTACCGAGTTTCAGCCGTTTTTTTTTAACGTTTTGAGATATGTTCCTGACAGACGCAAGGGAGTGAAAACACAATCTGTTTTCAACTTCAATGTAGCTTGAGGAGTAAAAAAATCACTTGTGAGAAAACTGTTCGATCAGAGGAAAGCTTTGCGGGATGTTTACTGTCAATATTAAATGATGCAAGTATTACAAGTGGAGGTAATGTTTCTTAAGTATCCATATTTTGTTGTCTGCTGTGTATGTACTACTACTGCCCATGACCTTGAACAATAGAAGCACAGTTTTCTACTCATTAAAACACTTAACAACTCATGAACTTTTTGAAAGCTCCTTGCCAAGGACATATGCTCATACACAGGACTCCCAAGGCCTGTAAAATGTTTATTTCAAGCTTATTAAAAGAGGAAAATGCATAATTACATTGGTTGCTTGATTCCACTTTTCAGACAGAGCCTGAAATCCATTTTAGCTTTTTAATTTGGACTTTTATTGACTGTGATTCAGTTGAACACTTTGTAGTCTCCGTTTGCATGAACTTATGTATTACAATTAACTTAATACAGAGATATGTGACAAGATGGCGAGGGAGATATCTGACTGAATGTCGCCACATGTAGGTCAGTGCACAACTTTTGATGGTTTTCTTCACTAGGATGTTAGGAAATTTAAAGCGAAAGAGCAAACACCTTTAAAGTTCAGGTGTTAATGTACCTAAGACTCAAGATGTCAAGATGTCCTTTTAAGATAGGTGAACAAGCACATGTTAGAGGAAGACTATGTCGAGAGGTATACATAATATACCGCGCGCGTGTTTATCATCAGTAATTGGATAGAAAAAGGCCTTGATGAAGCTGCACTGAGCCTTCTGCCTGTCTAACCTAAGTCTTGGTGTGTGTGTGTGTGTGTATTACGCAAACACTAAGTGAAAGCAGTAAAAGAATATGATGGAGCGCAAATTCAACAACTATATAAATATTATAAACATACCATATTTAAACATATTATAAGAATAAGAAAATATACTGAATATCTATATTCTTTAAAATATTTTAATTTCAAGTGGTCCAGAGACTAATTATGTTTTTCTTTCCAGTGCACTAATTCTTGCTCGTCAGGCATTATAAACACATGATAATTAGTATAATCAAGACATAATATGATAAACATAATAAGCTCAAAATTGCTGGGTGTTTAATGTTTTATGTAGTAAATGTAGCCTTAATGACATGGTGATATAAAACATAATGTAATATTGTTATGCCTGGATGATTACATTTTAAGAAACAATCATCCGGGCTTCTAATGGGCTCTGCCGTTAATGCATGACAGTTCACTTAATGCTGTGGTTCTCAAACTTCAGAATAAACCCCGGAATATCCTGAAAATGTGTGAGTTTACACAAAACATATATACGTTAAGAATTTACATATGTGGAGATGAATTTTGTGTGACTACTGTGTGTGTGTGTGTGTGTGTGTGTGTGTGTGTGGTGGGGGGGGGACGTGGGACAGGAAATGAGTGTATCGACTCTGATTCCTCCTCCACAATGTTATCAATATAACCCAGAGGCAAAGAGACAAAAACATACTCTAATGGATCCATACACAAATCTATCACTGTTTACTTCTTTACTGCGAGCACACACACAAACAAACAAAGCTACTCAAACGCTACTGGAAGGATAAGTAAGATGGATCGAACTCTCCCTGTGTTTGATATCAGCTTGCTCCCTTTCTTTGTTTCTTTCATGTTTTATTGTTAACGATTATATATGATTTATTATTCATCTATTTTTAATTGTGCATGTGCTGTGCAAAAACTAGAAAATGTCAAAGCATTGTTACAGAGTTGCTAAGGACACACACGTACACACACATGTAGACACACTGATAACAGGGTTGTTACACTTCATGTGATTGAAAGGTGCAAATAAGCATGTGGGGTATTCGTAGTTAATTGAGTGCTGATTCATCAGTTTGAGATGCTGACAAAAACTTTTCAGCTTTTGTTACCAGTCATGGAAGGTTCTTATAAATAATAGCCGTTCTGATATTTTTATGAACAAAATATTACACTCAAAAGTTAAATAGTTTGGGTTTTTTAAAGGTGGGGTTATGAGGTTCTTATCCATAATTAGAGTATTACCTACAGTAAGCAGCGGTCATCTCGCCCCCATTTAGAGAAGCACAGAGTTGTACCGGCATGGAAGCAGAGTAGCTTACTGCTGTGGACGTGGTCAGCCCTTTCCTTTGGCACTATATTCTTTACTGGTTGTTTGGAAAGTCATTTAATTTATTTGTAGGTGTTGAGCACTATCTTACCTAATGGTTGGGTGTCAAAAGTAATAATATTAAACTGTATGTATATACCACTTATCAAAACAGCGTGCTTTACATTACAAAATGATCACTGCAAACGAAGAGTATAGCGTACAGCACTTCTTGGTTCACGCCCTCCTGTGTGAGCCGAAAAACTTTCAAGCCCCCCGACTCCAGCAGATGTGGATTTCATTTCTATCAGTTAACAGGGCGTTCGAAGTGGGGCTGGACAATATAGCCAAAAAAAAGTTTCATATCTTTCGATATCGATAATTATATAATTATGATTATTGCTCCTGTGTGGAAGTTGAAGAAACCAGAGGCTTAATTGTGTTTTTAAATTATTCTTTATGGTGAGAATATGACCACTTGATCATAAACAGTGGATCACTAAACAAATCTGAGGTACAACATTCAAAACAATTATGAAAAATATTTTTTCAACAAATATGAGTAATAAGTAAAAGCTTTTTTCAGTCCTTTTTCCTCAACGAAATAAACATCTTAATAAAAAAAGTCCTAATTTGTCTATGATTTAAGTCAGTGGTTCTCAACCGTTTTTTTTGGCCAACGCCCCCCTATCCATTATCCAGGTCCGTGGCAGTACATTTATTGAATTATTGTATTGAAAAAAACAAAATTATAATAATTATTGTTATAATTTTATTGTCCAGCCCTAGTTTGAAATAAAATAAAAGTTTCAGGTTGGCAAAATAAACCTTGCTTGCATCAGAGCCGTTTCTTTGATAATGCCACCACGTGAATCACATTCATACAGCTTTAGGTCTGCTCAACATCAGTGCCGCCCACAATTTGAGAACCATTGGCCTTCACTTAAACTCATATAGATTCTTTTTAGGTGGCTAAAATATGTTTTGCTGCTGACCCCGTCCACAGAAGTAGGTTGCTTTGCTTTCATGCTGGGACTCCTCTCTGCTTCTCTAAACTGGTGGCAGGCTGATAAGGCTGTGGATAAACACCTCATACAACCTCACTTCAAAAACCTACTATGCCTTTAAAAATCTAGAGTAAGTTTTCTTCAGAAAATCTTACACGGAGAATCTCATCTATGTCATGAACTAAAGAATTAATAAAGCCATAATAGGTAAAGTAGGATTGTGTGTTTTAACTTAAGTGTCTGAAGGACTGCTGTCCTCTTGCTCATGAGCTTAATGACATGAGAACATGTAGGTCTGTCTGTGAGTAAAACACACTTTCCTTTGATGTCTGCCTTTTTATTGTAGAACTATCCTCATTATAATGTCCCAGTTAAGAGCTCCTCATTAAGGAGAAATAGGAAAAACAGCGCTTTTGTCTTTCCTTTAGTCTGTGACTGCAAATATGACAGACATCAGTTTAAGTATCTCAGGACCCAAGAATATATCAGTCTAACATGATATAAATATTGAGAAATGTAGTCGATTATGCCTTCAGATCAGCTTTAATCCTTCTTACTGTACTTTATCCAAAACTGTGGATGCTCAGTGTTTGAGCTCATTCACTTTTGGAGGCTTTTTCAGCACCACAGTGATTTCCAGTACATAATCCTGCCTTATTTTCAGTATTTATCAGCAGTCATCCTGTCACTCAAACAGCGTTGTCACAGCAGGAGGCCCATTGTTTTTTGATCTGATGCAGTACCATATTGTTGAGATGTAAAGCTACCTTTTGATATGCTGTGCTTTCTGCGTATATATTTCTGCAGATTTCGACATTTCTCCTCAATTCAGACCTGACAGGATTATAAATGACAAATCACTGGGAGTTAGAGGTGGTATCATCCTGATGGCGCATGCAAAGAAACATTTTTATAAAACAGCAAATAATCTTTTATAACTTATTTTGTATTTTTTACTTCCTAATTGAAATTCCTGAATTTGGTTTTATTAGTATGTGGCAGTCATGTTCTCAAATGAACTAATATCATGTTGTAAAGATGTCTGAACTTTTGTATTCGATAAAGTCAGACAAAAAGTTTAATTTAAAAAAACAACTTTATTTCCTTACTTTTCACTGGTGAACGAACACACAGTGGCTTTTATAGCCGCTATACATGACACCATTCGGTCACACATGTAGAGGCGCACAGAACATCGTTCACAAACGCAGACTGAACAGAATTTTTAACCCCTGCTGTTGATATAAAACTATTAAAACAACAAATGGCATGGAAAAGTAGTTTTGTTTTCTTTAGTGATTAATTTTGCTGGTAACATTACCAGCCCAAACACTGTTGCAATTGCAGTTACAAATGACTGAAATCTAAAGCGCAACAGTAGAAAATAGTGTTTACCATGAAGACACTTTTCAGAGTATTGTTGACACTTATTAGAGTAAATTAAAAGTTTGTCTTATGAACAACAATAAACTTCCGCGACTTAAGTGAAATCATCCAGGAAAATAAATCTTACATTCTTACATTCTTTGTGGAGATTTAAAACTTTTTGTGTGTGCTAAATGCTACTATTGCACACACAGCTTAAAAGAGCTTTTAAAGTACAGGCACAGTCACCTTGAGTTTTCAGATAACTTCCAAAACACAGAAAAGAGAGGAAAAGGGATAAAAAGATACGTAGAAAGACAAAGGTTTGTTCAACAAATAAGAGAGATTGTTTGAGACTTATGAATACAGAAGTGATGACAGTAGCCTGGAGTGTTTGTCTCTGGATACCAAGAAGACATGAAGTAACAGACGAGAAAATAGGGAATCCAGATATTCTTGACGTCTTTACGAAACATGTCTACATCATTACAGCTGTCTCTAAGCAAAGTACACAACAGCTGTATGAACTGTGAGGTTAGCAATACTAATGGTTCGTACCCTCTCAGTGCCACAGCAAACCTGCACACCTCATTCTGATTGATTCACACAGGCACGGGAATTAAAGATGATCACAGGAGAGGAGATGATCACAAACAGACACAGCTGCTGGTTAAGGAGTAAACGGTGCAACCATTAAGGTACAAAATATGATGCAGGTGTGGTTTTACTACATTTGAGTGTATATAATTTAATTGATCTGCCTCTTGTGAACTCAGCCAGTGCCACATGAGCCAGGGGAAATTTAGTCAGCAGTATTCAGTATGGGATATTTTGTAAAACGATTTTTCTTGTTCAGGAGCAGCAGCAGGATTTTTGCTACACACTTACACAGTGTCTGGACATTGCACCTGTAATTTTTGGTGAACAAAGAATAAATGGTTTTGTTACTAGTAGAGTATTAGTAGTATTTGACTAAGCCATTAGGTATTCATGTTGTTGCTTTTTTATTTCAAATAATTTAGTCACACTTATTTCAAATGAATCAAACATGCATCTTCTACCACACAATCAGTATTAAACATACACTGGATTACTTTCTAGTCAGTCCCGATGGAGGAGGAATTTTTTGCTTTAATTGGTGCTTACTGGGTGTTGTTTGTCACTTCCTGGTTTGGTTGCAGATGGCTTCAGCAACTGGTAGAATCTGGGGTTAGTTAGAAGTGGTATTAGCTGCTAACGCTAGAGCTACTTTCATTGTGCTGACTGCTCATGTTGCCTTTTTATGTGAGGAGTAACTGGCAGTCTTCAGCGTTGCTCTCTGCTCTTCTAAGTGCAATGAATGGAATTGTGTTTTGCTTGCATCACAAAACCTGAGAAAATATGACCGTTGCGTCTCACTCAGAGTCCCACTGCAGGAGCCACACAGGTCACTGCCATTTATTTCTACACAAGCAGCTAAGCAACACTTTTAAATCTATTTAAAGAGAAACAGATTGAGTACGGGGTTTATAGCACTCTCGAGACTTCTTCTGTCAAACACTTTGAAACAACTTATGATCATAAGTTATTAAAGAGTATGATGGGGGAAAAAGAAACTCAATATTTCCTGTAATGAGAAAACTACAGGTATAGATTTTTTGCTTTTTGTCATTTAACAACTAGCCATTCACAAAATAGATCATAAGATACACTTTCATCTAAAGAGGTCTGCTTGGGCCATTATGTCATCGACTCATCTTTCTGTAGCCCTTAATTAGTTCTCTTCTAGCTTAGTTAAACTCTTCTACTAATAGACAGCAGGCAGTAGGATGATATAATATCATCCTTTTACATTTCATCTTCAATATAAAACAGTATGATGTGGAAAAAATAAACTCAACATTTCATTTAATGAGAAAACTACAGGTATAGATTTTTTGCTTTTTGTCAATTTGAGCTCTAAGACCAGCAAAACAGGTTGTTCAGTGTCACTCAACAACTAGCCATTCACAAAATAGAGCATAAGATACACTTTGATCTGAAGAGGTCTGCTTTGGCCATTATCTCATTGACTCATCTTGCTGTAGCCCTTAATTAGTTCTCTGCTAGGCCATGCTTAGTCAGTTTCTTGTGCGCTCTGTAATGGCTTTAATGTTGCAGCATCAGGAGACTTGATTCCCTGCCTGCCAACTTTGTCAGGTCCTCTTGCAGGATAGAGATAACGTCACACAACTGCTGACTCAGAGGGTCACTGTCCAACAGTTTAAAGCAGTGGTGGCTGCTAAGACAAGATACCTCAGGAAAACTGCTGTAAACGTTCGCTCAAAAGTACCTTACCTTTAAAAGTAAGTAGAAATATTTGTTCATTCCAATATATTACACTGTTTCACTCTTCTAGCTCATTTAAACTGCTCTGCTAATAGACAGCAGGCAGATAGAACATTGTCCTTTTACATTTCAGCCTCCTGTGCGTTGTGGAGGAAATAATTCAGTTTTAATTAGGACGAATTAGCTACAAAATCTAACCACTCAATCAGTCATTCAGAATTTGGGGGAAATGACAGGACACATTTTGTCTGGCATGTAATTTGTTTTTCCACAGGACAGAGTCTATTGTCCTATCTCTGGGTGACAGCAGTGACTTATGAGAGCTGTCAGTCAAGCACAAAAACTTCATCTGACTCAGGAATCTGTTCATAAAAGAGGAGAGGGAGAGAGATGAAGCTTCATTGTTCTGTTGCAGAGACAATTGGCTTTCCCAACTCGCATTTTTTGTTATTATTTGTCCCATTCTCTCTGCCAAAAACTGAAATAGAGGTGTTTTATTTTTAGATGCAGCACACTTTACCGCTGCCATTTAAGGCAATGTTTGGTATCTAAGGATTTCTTTTTTAACTTAAGCCCTTCACTGCTCTGTGACAGATTGGGATACGTGTGCCCAACAAGGGGCCCAGTATTTTGTCAGCAGACTTTTTGAAAAACCTTCAAAAAAATTGGCACAAACATTACTGGATATCTTCCAATATCTACAGCCATGTGGCTCTAGTGGCGCTGTGAGCCAAATGCCATGTCAGTTCACAACAACAGTGGTAATATGCTGATATTTAGCAACTACAATGTTTACTGTGTTCACCATCTTAGTGTAGGCTTTCTTTTAGCATGCTAATTAGCACTAAACACAATGCAAGGCTGAGGCTGATGTGAATGTCATTTTGCAAGTATTTGGTCATAAATTAAAGTATTGGACCAATAAAAAAAATGACCTGATGATCACGCTCGATGAAAAGTTAGGGGTCGCCAATGTGATTGCAATTCATGCTGAGGGGAGACACCAAATTTCATGGCAATCCATCAGATACTTTCATTCAGGGCCATAGCTGTGGACCATCCCTTGATGTATGACGCTAGTATGGCTGAAAGGACCAAGCTATTTGAAATTATTTTGTGTTGTGATAATAATTTATACAAAAAGTATTAATTAAACACCCACAATACAGGGTAACTGTAAATTTCTGAAACTACTCAGGAAGCACAGGTATCCACTGCTGAATACACCCTGAACATGTGCATAATGCATCCACCATGCACACATGTACATTGCTAAAATGCTTGAACAGTTATCGTAAGAGCAGCGGTTCAATCCCTTGGTCTCCCCCAGTCTGCATTTCGAAGTGTCCTTGGGCTAGAGACTGAACCAAAAATTGCTCTTGAAGGCTGTGCCATTGGTGTGTGAGTGTGTGTGAATGGGGTGAATGTGACTTGTAGTGTAAAGTTCTCTGAGTGGTTGGAAGCCTAGAAAGGTGCTATACAAATACAGTGAATTTACTATGTACGATCCTTAACCAGCCAGGATTTAAATGTATTCAGTGTCAATTGTTGACTGCTTCCATCTAAAAAATATCTGTCTGGACTGTGAAAAGCGCACCTTAATCTAATCCTGCCTGAAGTGAAACAGGACCCAAAAACATTTTTGTATCGAGCTTTTCTAATTCACTGTTAGTAGGAGGAGAAATATGTATTCGTGAGTAGGGTTCATCATCTTATATTTTCTTTCTTTGTCCCTGTTGCAGAATGCAGAAGTGTCTGTGTTTGAGGTGAACATCCGGTTTGTTGGAGGTCTGCTGTCCGCCTACTACCTGTCTGGGAAAGAGGTAAGGAACTTACTGAAGCTTTCTGTAGTGTTTCTCAGGCCCCCGTTGCAATGAACAAGACCTTGAAGAGGGATCTTGCTGCCTGTTGGCTGATTGATGAAACCGATGGTACAGAGCAGATGACTGATGGTGGAGATTGGGAGAATGAATGAGTGCTTTTATATGCTCAAAGGCTTTAGTAATATGTCTTTTAATAGCCGGTACAGATAAATGTGTCCCATTAGCGAGTGCCAAGGAAAGTTCTCTTTCCAAGTATGAGTGCCCTCTTATCGACTTCTGTTCGTTTGCTCCTTGGTTAGGACTCCAACCAGCCTAGTGTAAAGGGTTACTCTTTACACTATCGCGTACTGTGATTTAAAGGAAAATGGCTGGAAGATGAATACACCTGGAATGTTGTTCCTCTTGGTTACCTGCGTGGTGGCTATGCATTGGTTATAGATACAGCAGTGGCTTATTTTGTTTTTCACACAGCACTGTCTTAAGTATCAGCAAGAACATTAGTAAACCTAAGTTTGCCCACAAGGTGCCTCAGATACAGAAAAATGTTTGTACTTTTAAATGAAAGGTGGTATACTGTCAGCCTGGGGAGGCAGAATATGTTAGCGTCTGAGTGCTGACAAATTATTGCTCCAGACTTGCTTTATTCAGAAAAATGAGAGGAGAGGAATTTCATGGTGCTTCTCACTTTCCTCATAGTGCTAGTCCTGCTGTGTCTATGTGTATGTTAATCTGCTTAGTGACAAGAGACTGTGAAAATGACATCAGCAGGGTATTACGCTCGGATCATGTTCTACTCTGCCAATGCAGCGATTTCATGTAAAACTCACTTTTCTTCAATATCTTTTCTTCTTTCTCTCTTTTAATTACACGCCTCAGTCTATAAATGAATGATAAGGCCCGATCAAGGAATGCATATCTCTGCAAATCACCTGCAGAATAGCTTTTTATAAGCCGCCAAAATCTGGTACTTGCAAAGTATTTCTTTTTCATTTCATTTTCATTTTTCATTTCATTTTTGTTTCTAGACTCTCACAGGAGGGATTTTACTCTGAGTGACTTTGGTCTTCTCTTCTGCACTTTAATACACATACATACAGGTATACACACCATCCTATTTGAGACACATAATCTACACCATCATCGTGGCGGTGAGCATACCAGGGTTGTGAGGCGAAGTGCTTCTTTATTAGCGAGGAGAGATTGTGCAGGCAGGAGTCACACTTTGAGTTCTCTTGTAGCAAAATCTATTTCTATGCTTGATGAGTGTTTCTGCGCCTTAATATACAGAAAATCGAGATGAACGTTATTTCATGTAAAGCTCTAGATGTTCAGACTATGGCTTAAAAAAAGAAATAATGACACAAATAGAACCATTTAACAAGTTTAAAGTAGCTTAACACTACTTAAGGCATGACATAAACAGCCTGAAAATTAAACCAAAGCATGTAAATCTCCAAAGTCAACAACAAAATGAGACAATATAGCACAAATTATATACATTAAGCCTTTAAATGTGTGCCTCCACAGTGATTTCAGACCTAAACATTACTTTAAGTGGCCTTAAATGGCAGTATAGCTAAGGCCCAAATTGCTTGTTTTGTCCAAACAGATGTTATGTTCTCTGGAGAATCTGGACCCGACAGAGGAGATGCAGTTAAAGACAATTTATTGTGAAAGATTGTGGTAATAAAGTCACTTGATGAGTGCTGTTGAATGATGAAGATTGAGCCAAAGCAGCATGAGTTGATGATAGCAGCTGTTATGCTATGTGTGTTTCAGTAGAGAAGTCTGACTTAGCAGCAAGCGAAGCCGGTAAGAAGCACAGCAGTGGAGTAAACCTGAACACAGGGAAACAACGCATGACTCAAAGAGTCTAAAGCGAACATGAAGAAACTTCGTAGCGCCACAGCGTAGTTACCACACTGGTGAATGGAATAATCTTAGAGCTGGGGTAGATACACTGCAGAGTCTCAGGTGTGCAGGAGGCGGGTAGAATCAAAGGAGCGCCACACTTGGACAGACATACACACAGGCAAATAGGGCAAAACAAAATGGAGAGGAGAGGTATAGCCAGACCATGACAATATAAGTCTAACACCCAAAGAAATCACGTAAAATCACATATAAGGAAAGAAAAGCAGCAATTTTTCACAATTTGGAAGCTTGAACTAGAAGGTGATTGTCTTGAATGTTTAAATAAATGTCAAGATAATTGCAGATTTTTCTGATGATTGTTTGGTCTGGTTGCTGTATTGTCAGCCATGTGATGAAGTTTCAGATTGGGCTGCTCAACAGCTAGTCACGTATCTGGCATCTAGGCCATGTACCTAAACACTGACAATAAAATAGCGAACAGTGAACACATTATAAACGATACAATACGAAATGCTACAAAACAAAACCTGCAAACCGTAATTCAGCTTATAACAAAATAACAAAAGCTTGTATTTACAACACCTGATCTTCCTACTCTGATCTTCATCATAGCGAAAGCAGCTTCATTTAAAATCATCAATGCAGATAATCTGGACTGAAAATCCTCTCAACAGGTGTGAAACACTGAAGGCGAACTGCACCTCCTCATCACTTCTCAGCAGTCACTCTTGGCTCCATTTGTTTTTTATGAGAGTCCATCAGTTCAGGGCTCCCTGTATTTCATCAGAGCCTTGAGAGGTCCTTCTCCTTCAGCTGCAGGTTAGGGTCCCCTGAAGGATGGAGGAGGTAGATGGATGGCTGCTGGGTGGCTGGAAGGCTGTTGATGACTGAATGTTGCAGGTGTTGTGCCACTGAAGGACTGTTAAAATACTGGCTTAAATACTGCTGGTTGGTGCTGAAGGAGGGGTTAGGGCTCCAGGGAAAGATAAGCAGATGTACTGGAAAGACTTGAGCTCGCAATGACAGAACCCTGAAAAACCCTGACACAGATACATCTTGATCTGTTTACATTACAACCTTTAACTAAATCCACTTCAAAATAGTACACAGAGGAACAGTAAAAGAAAATGTTATTTTCCATTATCTGTTAGTATAATAATTATTTTCACAATCAAATAATTAATTGTTGGGTCTTTAAAAATGTCAGAAATAGTAAAAAAAAAAAAAGCCCATCACAATAGTTTAAAGGTTATGTTTTCAATTTTCTTGTTTTACCAAATTCTTGGTAAATAATAATTAATGATAAATTAATGAATAGATAATGTTTTAAATGAATAAAAGTACACTCACAACATTACCATTCTATGATTTTGTAATTATTTCTTGATGTTATTTTGTGTTCCTTGGCAGGCAAACCAAAATTTTAATTTGCACACTCTGTAAAGGCAGTGCAATGAGATGGTTACTTTTATGACTGTTGAGTAAATGAAAGACTTTCTAGAATTTATACTGTAAGATTGCATAGTCTTTTCTACACTTTTGTGTATTGTGTGAGTTCATCAGTTCATCGTACATTTTAGTTTTTTTTAGATGAGCACTCGAGCTTTCCTGCTCCTTTCACATGCTCAACTTCCATCTGTAAAACCAATGCTCACACTTTCACTTTATACACTGATAAAAGCTCTTACAGATAAAGTGGATCTGTACTGGAGGTACATTTTGCAGACTGATATATTTATAACAAAATGGACTAATTGAACACTGGTCAGGCATTATGTAACTCACCACTTGGAGTATAGATTAGATGAGACATTACCTGACCTAATATATTCAAACCCTCAAACCTAAAAGGACCAGAGAGAAGGAGAGAACCTCAGAACAGAGAATTTGTCAACATTAAGCCAACTCAAAATACTACATGAAAAACTGAAAACAGATTTTTGTTTGTTTGTTTGTTTAAAAAAGGCAAAACATTTTGGAAAAATTTTTAGATTTGCTGGCTTTACCTAAAATTTCTGGTGCAAACATTGTAAACAGGTTAAAATGTCTTAAATTGTTCACATCTGAGTTGTTGAATGGACGTTGCAGTTTACATCAAAGCACTTAAACCATCTGCAGTGTATTAATGAGGAAACTGCTTTATTTGATTCATCTTTCATTTGATCAAGTGATTTCTTGTCAGAAGGTTGAGGTCTATCAACAAGCCATCCCTGATTACCTCAATCTTATACCTTGAACAGTATTTACAAGCTGCATTTTGGAAATAGGGAGAGGTTTGATTTAAGGAGGATGATGGACAAGGAGTCAAAAAGATGATGAGACGGTGTTCGGGAAAGACGGAAGGAGCAGTTTAAAGAAGAGCAGTCACTCTGGTCTGGTCTGTCCTAGTCTGGCTCTCACTCAAAGAGACCTGGGCCTTGATGAAATTTTGATCAGTAAAAGTACAGCTGGTACTGGCTGTGTGCACCCTACTGGCAGGCTTTTAACACCCCTGCCTGCATACAGATCACAGCATGTAACCTCATCCAATGAAGAAAGGGAAGAAGGGAAGGACAGTAGGTAGGAAGGAAGTAAACAATGTGTTGAAAGATGAACAAAATAAAAGGCTTGCAGTGCTCATAGTAATCAAAGCTAAGGGCTTCAAGGAGGAAAGGACAGAGAAAGGACGGACAGCAGCAAGAATGAAAAAAAGCCAGAAAGGAAGAAGGAAATGGAGCCTGAAGGAAGCTATTTTAGGGAAAATAAGGGGGGAAACCTGAAAGAAGGACGAAGAAGGTGATGATTGGAGGAGGGAAGGAATTGAAAAGAAGTGAGGGAAGAAATTTGAAGCGATAGATGGAAGAGAGACAGATGCTATGTGACTATGTATGTAGTTGTAGTATACTGTTTTGCTGTTAGTTTATAAGAGATCAATCTACTTAACTGTTTCACACTAACAGGAAGTAATCTAATCCTTGCGCTGCCAGATGCCAATCAGACTACGAATTTAGACAGCTGCTGCCAATTAGACTTTACAAAATGACAGCAAAAATGTTGGTGTTCTTGGTGCTGTTTTGCCATCATCCACAATGAATTTTTCCACCTGTGACCAGCTCTTGTATTTCTTTTGTTCATTGCATTGTGGG